ACTTCGTTATTTTCCTTTTGAAGGAGTCGGAATGGGGCATTCTACCTGCTGGTACCTTTCGCAACCGAGCACTTTAATACCAATGCGTCCTGCTCGGACTATCGACTGGTGAAGCGGGTGAAGCGTGGTTCAAACTACCGTGATGCGCTAAAAGCCGTGTTTTAGCAGGTTTCTTTCGAGAGGCTGACTGGTGGATTGAGAGTCAGGCCATAATGCCACCCTCTATGCCTCTATGACACTTTCCTCCACAGTGATCTTGACATCACACCGGGCTCAGTTGGACGAAGGAGAGATAACGTCATACATGCAAGGCAGGCATAAATCCCAATAAACTAATTTGCACACAAGTTACCCTCTCTGTGCCCATTACTCCCCGGTGCACACGATGCTGTCAAGTTTGTTAAAATCAGAAGTCAGCTAGGACAGATTTGGCTGGAAGAACTGTTTTACTGTGAGAAAGGAGCTTTTCAAATACATCGGTCAAAAGCTAGCTGTCAGCCGTATCTTCAAGCCAGTTATGGCAGTCAATATTCGCTGTTGGAATTACTTGACTCCGATAGGTGTCCTCTGTCACCTGCAGTCAATCAACGAAGTGGCACGCATTGATTGGTTTCTAGCTTACATACGTCTCAAGCAGCGAATCGACCGGGGGCGCGAGATGGACAGGACACTGTGGACGTCTCTAGCAGGGATCGAACAGGAGCGTGCGGGAAAGGTGGCTACGCGCGAGTAGGCAAGCGAAGGAAAGATAAGTCAGCACCCAGGCGCAGGGCGCGGACTACTGCAATGCATCTTGTCGAAATCGGGACAGTCGAACGGTTAGTATATCCGCTTATAGCCCCCTACCAAAAAACAATAATCTAGGTCATGTGAACGAATGTCTTGTCTGTGTTTGGAAGCAGGACATGGATCTACCAAAAATCATTCACCCATCAACGTTGGTCTAAACTCTGCTTGAGATAACTGTTTGTCTGCCAATTTGGGTGCTTTCATTTTACTTAATACAAACCAGGACAGTGCAGTGGCGCGGAAGTCGGTAAGTAGCCGTTTGATGTCATGCCAACCAATGAGTCTAGTCTGCCCTGGACGGACGGACGGCGGGGGGAAGAGAGAAAGTAAAACAGATGAAAATAAATCTGGTACACTTTTAGCCTATCCTAACGATATAAATGGCGTGGCTAGGAGGCGCAAAAACTGGAGGGGGAGATCACACACCCTCCAGACCGCCACGTCTGTAGTCGGCCTGAACGAGAGTTTGGCCAGTTCAGCCGGTGAGACCGGCCACCTTTGCACTGTCTGGCCGCCACCAGAACAGGATGGATGGGGAAAGAGGAAGTGAGGTAGACGCTGCGGGTCGCACTTGCACCTGGAACATACAAATTGGGATAAAGGGAAGTTGGACTTATCGACAGCCCATTCATACGGTTGTCTTAAATATCTAATTAGCAACCTTATAGCGCACGGCGAGGCTAGGTGATCGCTGGCTTGAATACAGGATGCAGGAGCCAGCCAATCGTAAGTACTAGGTGACCGACTGCCAAATTAAAAGTGTCTCACGATTACACACTCCGTATTGTGAACATTAATCCGTTTTTTTGCACGAGAGAGTGAAAAGTGAAAAATGTGTCGGCAAACCAGGTTCAGACAAGGTATCGTTTAATAAATTCTTAGGCTGTAAAAATGTTTGAGGCACAATTATAATATTGGCCATATTGTAATGTCCCCGTCTGGATTTAAATTGCTATATGACTTCCAATTGGGTTCAGAATTTTACCATGTTTATTCATGCCTTCCATCAGAATTTCGCTCCTGATTAACCCGACCCCTTGCATGCTTATTGGCGAGCCTCCTTTGACTTCTGTTATACAACGCTGCAATAATTCCCCTCAAATAGGCCCAGATGGCTTTAGATTGGAACTCAGAGAAAACCAACAAATCTTTTCAGTTCGGTTCCCTTTTAGAACTTGTTTTAGCGCCGGCTGAGAAGGGAGCCATCTGACCTATTTAACAGACACACCATCAGCCCAGTGCGTGTTATGTCTGTAGTGACTGGTGAGTGGACGACGGCGACGGCTCTTTTTTCTAATCCCCTGGTTATGTAAAACCTAGTGTTTGTGTCAAGGGGGCCAGGTCGTGCTGTGGCGCTCGCAGACGGGTTCGCCAGCCCTGTTAGCCACTGCACTTGATTTCGCTTCCAGCCTTCTTGACTCTTTCCCTTGACATCGTACGCAGGTGGGTGAGGTTATAGAGAGTGCGATAGATGCCGCGAAAGTCTACTATCACTCGAAATTAATTCGTGTGCAAATCACCATCCCTGCACCACCCTGCTGTGGAGTGCGCAGTGGACGTCACCGAAATCGATGGTCGAACTGCCTCGTCGTTGAAGCAACAGGAATTCATTACTGCCTTGCCTCACAAAGACAACCGTTGCGAAGAAAGAGTCGGAAGGTATAATCACGTAGTTTGACTTGCCTGTGAACAACCTAATCTCCAACAACTTTCGTGCAAAAAAGGCTTTCATGTCATCGCGTGGCCGCGCTTAAATGTCATTTACTTGGGGTAACAGACGACTCACACACTTCATGCAAGTGAAAATATAAGCTGCCTGTGACATCCAATTGAGCAACCCTTCACCCGGCCAGTGCATTTGCAGGCAGAATGAAAATTGTACAGGGTTGATAAGCGTACTTTGATTAAAACTCGTCGTTTTCACACAATCCGCATGGCGAGGTTGGCGTGTGGAGGTCTTTATGCTCGGGGACGGGGGAGTGGAAGGGAAGAAATTGGGTTAGGCTGTGGGCATTAGACAGGGATCAGGTATATAAGGTGATAATTACTATCTTTTTTACGGAGCGAACGATTGTCACTAGGACGTGGGGGCGATGTACGATCGCAACCTGGTTTCGGGGTCAGGCACGGAAGTGACAATGCTTGTGTCAGCGTCTTCTGACAACACAGCACTGGATTCGTTAGCCGTATAGCCACTGTTTCGTCTGGTGCAAGCAGCCGTTGGCTTAGGCCTTTGGAAAAGTTGTCTGGTGTCCGGTAGACGACCAGAAAGGCTTCAATAGTGTCGAATTGATGATTCGTATCGACAAGGTGTGCGATAGTATAACTCGAGATCGACCTAGCTTCACCGTTTCTTAACGAGGCCGGTATGTATTCACCTACCAGGCGTCTCGTTGTTCGGCCGATGTATCCTGCTGCACAGGAGCAATAAAAGAGTGAATGCACACCTTCAACGAATCGGTATTTATTTCCCAATTGTAGAAGGGGAGAGTTCTTGAATAATACACTTAAGTTAGCCGCGGGAAAGCGCTTGTAATCGCAGTCTTCGGGCGTCGTCTTGCCAGCTCGCTTGGTGCATCGCCCAAGAAAGACATTCTTATGAACTTGTCTTTCTTTCCTGTGGTTAAGGTAGCAGGATTTTTGATGTGTTCGTCACTAATCCTGAGGATGAGCCTCTGTACGTATCCATTTTAAAGAAACGTGTTCTGCAGCAGCTGGAATTGTGCTTGAACAATTTAAGGAGAGCAGATACGTCATACTGTAGCTGCCAATCCCTGGACTAGATTTCGTTTTATATTTCAGGAACAAAACTGTGAAAGTTGATATATTGTCCCGCCCAGGTTTTCTTTCGGAATATCCTACGCAGGATAGATCCATCATTTTGCATTCGCAGGAGGACATCAAGGAATGCATTTGTATTGTCAACCTCAGTCTCTGCAAAAAATCTGAGCGATGGATGCACGCTGTTGAACTTCGCGACTAGGGCGTCAGTATCGGTCTTGTAGTCTGTCAAAAGTAAGATTTCACCCACATATCGACCGTAAAATGCAAGGTCCTTGACGGTGGAACTTAGACTCGTTTTCTCGATCTTGCCCATAGAGATATTTAAAAGAAAGTGCCACATGGTGATCCCATCGCCAAACCATCTATTTGCCTGTAGTACGGGCCATTGCAGAGAAAGTGCACATTTTGTATGCATTGTGTAAGTAGTTCTTTGGGAGTTTTAACGGGCATACCTGTCTGACAGTTCGCATCCCGAATAACGTCACAGAGTTAGTTTATGGTTTCTGCTATGGGAACGTTTTTAAATAGTGATGATACATCCAATAATAGAATCTGTCTTTTACCAACGTTCATATTCTTTATAGCTTTGACAAACTCAAATGTGTCTTTCAAGCTTCGAGGATATAGATAGGTCCCAAGCGGCTTGAGCTCTTCTACCGGACATTTCGTGATGGTGTAATAAAGGGAGTTTTTCATATCCAAGATTAGAGCAAGGGTAGCTCCTGTTTGTGGCTTTCCGGAAGGCCATACATTCTGGATATCAACGTGCCTACAGGTCTCAGTTCTTCAAGATCTTTGTCAGACAAAATACCTTCCTTGTGGAGGTCTTTGAGAATTGTAGTCAACTGACCCTCGACGGCCTCTTTCGATCTTTGTCACTATCGACTTTTGAGAACTTTGTACGATCTGCTAGGACAGTTCCTAGTTTGGCTACATAATAATTCTTGTCCACCAGTACCGTTTCGGACTCTTTGTCTGATCTGGTCAGCACGATGTTTTGATTTCTTCGGAGTTCCCTTAGGCTACCGAGATGAGCCTTTGTTAAGGGACCTTTGTTCGTTGGAACCCTTCTTAAGTACTGCTGATAGCAGTTAAAAAGCATCGACTTGAGATAATCAACTTCTGTAGGCTCAGTAGATTTTAGGTAGACAGTCTGGTTTAAGGGCTCTCGAATTCGGTTTCTAACTCTAGTTAATTCGGCCCTAAATATAAAACGAACTCTAGTCTTGGGATTAGCGGCTAGAGTACAACGAATCCGCTCTCCTGAAACTGTCGAAGCAGAATTCCAGCAGCTTCAGAACACGGTTCTTGAAAATGGATACCGAGAAAGGCCTTTCAGGTTGTCTACCGGAAATCAACTTACTTTTTCAGGGGCCTACACCAACGGCTGCTTGCAACAGCCGAAAGAGTGGATATACGGCTAGCGAATCCAGTGCTGTGTTGTCAGTAGACGCCGACACAGGCACTTTCACTTCCGTGACCGACCCTGAAGCCAGGTGGCGATCGCACATCACCCCACGCCCCAGTGACAGTCGTCCGCTCCGTGAAAATGTCAGTGATTATCACTCCATGTACCTGACCCCTGCTTACTGCACACAGCCTTATCAAATTTCCTCCCCTCCCTCACCCGTCCCCGAGCACAAGCGGATCTCGCCATGCGGGTGGCGTGAGTACGATGAGGTGTAATCAAAGTACGCTGATTACCCCTGTCTAACTGTACAAATTTTCATTATGCCAGGAAATGTACTGGCCTGATGAGGAGTTGCTGCGTACGTATGTTTGCCAAGTCGACCTTTAAAATTAAACGTGGGCATATTTTCAGAAATTCGTTTTTTGGATGCTGCCATTTTGTTCATTTGTCTATGTGATTTTATCTGTGGTCGAAACTATTAAATGTTGTTTGTGATAATTATTCAAAAAAGACATATTGAAAATTCCGACAACCCTCACGTCGATATGCTCCATGATCCGGGGACAATAATGCTTTAAGAAAACTGTCAAACAATGTAGTCTTCTGACGTTTTAGCCTTTTGTTTCCTTCATTTTCCTCAACGAGTGCTGTCCTGTTCATGTGACGTGTATAGCTTATTTTCTTTCTGTCGGAATGTTCCTCGCTATGGCACTTTTTATAAGCTATAATGCGGTTATTCACAACTTACTTCGATCTTTACAAGCGTTCTTCAATTTATCTACTGCTAACACTCATTGCATGCAACCATGAAATAGTTCCCCACCCAGGCTCCCGTTACTTTTACCTGTACCACCACTCGTAAATGGTGAAAATGACTGTGGGTCGGGAGTGGAAACTACTTTGATGTTAATAAATGTAACTTTATTTATATAAAAGATGCAGGCTCTCAGCGTAGGTGTGAAGTAACATTGGAATATTAGAGGGTTTTATACCTGTTTTCTTTAAACATTTCCATTACCTGATTTCATGGTTAGGCATCGTGTTAAAAGACGTATTTTTCACAGTAAATTGAAACTTTTTCCTTTTTCATGAAAAGACTGGATCGTTTCACAAACAATTATCGGAACTGTGGCCAAACATTGACCTATTTTTTGGCATGACAGACTGCAAGCTCTCACAACACACCATATCCTCTAAATTACACGCACTTTTTCGATGGGAAAACTAGCATCGTCGACCGAATTAATCAGGTTGCACCGTCCTTCTTAGTCATTCAAGGACAACATTATCGTGGTTAAACAATTTGGAGAACACCCGCGATCGTGCAATCAGATGCTAATCTTTTGGGCATTTCCGTCTGTGCAAAAGCACTATGCTATGGTTCAAAATAGTTTCGCCTGGAGTAGGTTGTGTACGCAAAATTAAACAGACTTCATCTCATATATCAACGTAAAAATGGTTTAAATTCACACTACTTCTGGGTATACAAGGTATCCAGGTATGGATAAGAGCTCAACGACCGGAAGAAAATTTCCGCAATTTTGGGTTTGAGAGTGCAAATTCAGGTGAGGACTAAAGTTCTACGAATTCAATAAACCCGCTGAGTCTGGATAAGGAAATAAGCTATAGGTCTGACGGCAAAAGAAGCTTATGTAGGCTCACTCATATATACCCCTTGTCCCAGCATTTGGTCCTGCAAAAACGGTGGTTATAGAATTTTTGGGGGTAGTGAAATAGGATAGTCAGAGAAGGAAATTTTTAGAGGTAAGTTTAAAGTGAAAAAAAATGTAGTCGAAGTTGCTTCCCTCGGCCGCTGGGAGTTAGTTGTTCCGCATTTAAATTGAAGGTGTGCACGGTGCTTTACGCCGCGGACTATATTATCTAACTCCAGAACGGTAAGTTGGACCTCAGGTAAGTTCATGTAGACGACCTCCTAACCACCATTTCAATTTTTCGGGATTTCAAGAAACCTGCGATTTTATAATCGGGTTTTTCTGCGATAAGTTAAACGATAATACAGATTAGGAAAATCTACAGATATAAATCAA